AGACAGTGCCTGTCCTCGTTTAATGAAGGACAGAAATTATAGTGCTGGGGTGTAGTGTCAATCAGAGCTCATACTAAAAAAGTGAAACCATTCTTAATATTCTAAGCAGGACCTGTTTTAACAATTCTATTTAGATAATTAGAATCTAAACAACTTGCAAAGCCTTGGGACTCTCCTTGCCTAGGAAGCAGATACTGGAAATGAGTGATTCTCACTGGATTCTCTATAGCCCAAGTGCGGCTGTACTGAAGGTATCTGGTCCTTAACACTATGTTCCTCTGACCTGTGTTGGTGTCCAGGGTGGAGGTGCTGTTTCTCTCAGTGTGTACTCTCTTGTCTTCATTTCTGTCTGAGGGTCTGCCTGAAGGTGCTGAAGAAGAGTAGTGAATTCATTCCTTCTACTAATAAATTTTATGGTAGGGTCCATTTTTTGACAACACGACAGGAAACTATAGAGAAAGGAGATTCTGTGAAATGTACTTCAAGACTCCATGTTAAAGATAAAGATGATAGAAGATACCCCAGTAAAGACATGAATACACCGACTTGCAAAACATTGCAGTAGGGAAATGCCTAGACTATGCTTACATTTGTTTCCAAGTATCTTCAGCTAATTGGCACTGTAGGATAAGTGTTTCACTGCTTACCATTAGGTTGAGGGTTCAAACACATCAGCCCATTCTTGGAAACCCTCTACAGGATTGCTGTGATTCAGAATTGAAAGTCCTTAACAACAACAATAATCTTCAGCAAGTTGTTTAATATGGAAATAAAATGCCATTAAGTCATTTCTTGAACAGAAAACACTGAAAGTATCACCGCCAATCTGTAGAAATTATTTAAGAAAACATGAAGATGTTTCTTAATTTGAAAATAACAACAAAAAGAGACTATTAAAGCTGTCGCAGTGTTCATCTTTAAAATGTTCCTCACTTGCTGCTCCATTTTCTCCAGGATTCAGTGGCTGGCGTCTTGGAAATCAGTAAGAGTTTGTTAGAAATGCAAAGTAGCAGGTCTCTCCATATACCTGCTGAATGTAAATATTCACTTGGCAAGATGCCAGACCATTTCTATTAGTTTTAAGAAGTCTGTTGTAAGGGATATATACTTCAGCTAAAAAGAGTCCCAACTTTTAGATCCTCATAGTGTAGTGGTTACGAATCGGGCTGTGAACCTTAAGGTCAGCGGTTCGAAACTACCAGCCGCTCCGCGGGAGAAAGATGAGGCTTTCTACTCCCGTAAAGATTTACACCCTCGGAAACCCTGTACAGGGTCGCTATGGGTCGGAACCGACTCGATGGCACTTAACAACAACAACAACAACAAGGACATCTTAAACATATGGTAAAAATTCATATGGTAAAAATTCACTCAGCTTTAATTTCAAACAAATCCAAAGCACAACTTGGAAACATTATAAAGATGATAACAATTTAAAAAGTATAATTATCAAAGTTCTAATCAAAACTCTTAAAAAACACATGGCTGAAAGTATTTTAGTAACTTGAGAAATTATTAAAGTGTAAAGGTCCTGGTGTGGCGCTGTGGGTTAATGTGTCAGATTGCAAAGCCGTTTGAACTGCAAGGATGGCAGTTCAAGCTCACCAGCTGCTCCTTGAAAACCCTCTACAGGGTTGCTATGGGTCAGAACTGACTCACCAGCACTTCACAACAACAAAAAAAGGTAAGGATTGTATACCTTTGTGCTAACGTTGTTTGAACTTAATATTTACTTATGTAACTATGCTGGGGATTTGGGTCACTGTGATCATTATGAATTTGTGCCAACTGGTCTCACCCCGGAGTCTCAGGAGTTTAGCAGTTCATCTGTAGTCATGGCCCCCAGGATGAGAT